AGATCTAAATGGCGGAGGACCCCATACACTGAAGGAAAAAGAAAGAAAAAGCAAATGACGACTATAAATGTTTTTGAAAGTCCTGAAAAGGGGCAAAAAGTTAACACGATTATTCAATTTTTTCCGGATAATCAAATCGGCAACTGGGATGTGATGAGTTTGAAGCCAATGACTCGTGAAGAGGTAGCTCTATTGGCAGAGTTGAATACAGATATTACAGACTCGTCTTTGTTTAACATCCGCATTATCGATAGCACGGGTGCTTTGTACATAATTTTACTATATCACCTCTAGCAGCATCCAGACTCAACAAACTTGAAAATGATTTCTTATCCAAATTCTGCTCTCAGAAGATACACATGTATGATTCAGTTGACTATTTTTATTCTTATTTGTTAAGTATTAGTTCTAATTGCAGTTAGTTCTGGGTTTCAGGAGATATAAGGTTATTGAAACGTCGAATAGCAGCATCAGCAGAGCAGATTTGTTGACTTTGCTCCGAGGTGGCCGGCTTGATGACAAGGTTAGATTATAGTTCAAGGCAAAGTTGAAAATGTATGGCTTAATTAGATCTTTAATGTATTTCTAATATTACAGATGGTTGAGTCAGTGCTGGACACGATTAGTGTGGATGCGTTTGGCAAAGGATATGGTCTCGTATCAGTGTTCTTTCTTGTAAGTACATGTTAGACCTAAATTGACCATGCTAGTTAGTTTATAACATGTTAGTTCTATTCCCTATCAAGTTAGTTCTATTCCGTATCATGTTAGTTCTATTCTGTACAATGTTAGTTCTACGGAATAACATTGTTAGTTCTATTCAGTACCATGTTAGTTCTATTCCCTATCATGTTAGTTCTATTCAGTAATATGTTCGTTCTACGGTATAACATGTTAGTTAGTTCTATACCTTATCATGTTAGTTCTATTCAGTACCATGTTAGTTCTATTCCCTATCATGTTAGTTCTATTCAGTAATATGTTAGTTCTACGGTATAACATGTTAGTTCTATACCTTATCATGTTAGTTCTAGTCTGTTTAATGTTAGTTCTATCTCTGTGCTTGCAGCATTCATTATACGGCATCGAACCCAACTTTTACGAACTATTTTTGACATACATTGAAAAGTATACTGCCCTCCGCATTATGCATCTATTGATCCCTTTGGTCAAGGACGACCATTGGCATCTGGTTGAAGTTGACCTGAGGGATGATGTTGTCAAGCACTATAGTTCGGCCGGGCACGAATCGTGGTTGGAGCCGGTTAACAAAATTATAAAATTCTTTGATATGCAGCGCGTGGACTTTGTTGAGCAAAATGTGCGCAGAGTATTCCAATATGAAGCCGTCACATGCGAGCGGCAAATTGGGCGGTTAGTTCTATTACCTATCATGTTTCTATTTGCATTAGTTCTATAGCTACATTGTATTATTGCGAGAATGTCTGATTTAGTCTTCTGTTCTGCCTTCTGTTCTGCAGATTTGACTGTGGTGTGTTCGTCTACCTATATATAAAAGCAATAATTGATGGCCGCCCAACAACTCGTGTTAATCCGCCTGGCGAAGTACCTGATGCTATGCGAGCAAGACTCGCCGCGCAATTATTAATAGCTGGCTATGAACGAAGATGTAAAGACGAAACGGTGTACAGTGATGAATGACATGTCTATATAAATACAGAATGGAGTGTATATTTGTATAAAAAATGCGTTCTCGGTCCAAACTTCAACTTGGTACTCCACGTTGCCAAGTTAGAACAACTTCTTTTCTTGTTAGTTCTAAATGAGTTATAGTCGTAAAGGAGTGCTAGTTCTAAATGGGTGATAGTTCTAGCGAGGGCTCGTTAGTTCTATCTCATTGGTATTATTTTAGTGTTTGTTTGAAGAGATGACTTTCCATCACCGCCAATTGTTACTCTAGCTGTTCAGCTTTTTTCTCCTGTCACGTCCCATCATACCAATTGATCACATCATACATTCGCGCGTTCCCAAGTGAGGTAAGGCGGACATTTAATTATGACATTGCATCGATACTCACGTCACCACCATCAATAACTTAAGCCATTTTCGAAGCGGAGAACTATTTCCGACGTAAATTCTTCTTGCAAATGGCTAAGGAATTTTTCTGTGTTCACTGCCATGGGCGGGGGCATAGCTCCCGCGATTGTCATCATAAGCTTACCGCCCGTGCCCCTCCGAGGCTGATAACTATCCCGTCCAACACCTCCAGCACCATCCGACATCTGTCGGCTTACGCCATTTTCTACCTTGAAAGTGGTCGTCCATCCGTGCAGGAGCTCCGGGAGATGCTAGCCTTTTAGAACGTGGCCCCACCAAATCAAGCAGGCAGCCGGAAACAGTTTCATGGTGCAGTTTCCAAGTGATCCCATACTTGCCCAAGCTGTTCAACTCGGACTGATAGATATGGGCACATTTAAGGGTAGATTTCGCCGTTGGGAGGAGGATCTGAGGCTAGTAACGTTGCCGCAAACTTTTCCAGTATGGATTCGGCTATTCAATGTCTCATACCACCTGTGGAATTTTGAATTTCTTCGCTCGCTGCTCATGGGAGTCGGTGAATGTGTCATGTGCTCCAGGGGCATCATAACACATTCTAACTTCGCAGACTGCAGAATTCTTCTGAAGGTTAGGAATTTATCGGAAATCCCTAAGAGGCTTAGGTTCCGTTACATCTCCCCCGGCGACGGAAACATAAAGGAAGGCTACGCCGTGACGCAGGTCCAGAGCGGGGAGAAGTTGGAATTGCTTCAGGAATCCACGCCCGAGTTAATTAAGGTTGTTTGGGACGGGAGAAATATGACGGTCAAAAGAGACCAGTGGCAGCTGTTTCTCCGCAACCAAGGAGTCGGGGGTTCCAATTATCCCAGAGCTCTCCCAACACCCAATGATAATCGCCCATTAGACCCAGCCGGGGCGGATAGTGGTTCCACGGCTCCAAGCTCTCCATCCTCACATCGCTTTCGATCCAGCGAAGGTAGCAACAAATGAAGATCCGGCACCAATCGAGTTTAACGCTTAACGCATTGGCCCAGTTTTATTTATATTTTTCATCTGAACAAATACAGTTTTAATTTTACCCCTTCTTCGGGTTAGTACTGATTTTCTTTGTACTTACTTATGTTAGCTGGCGTGTTAGTACTGACCAGTTATATCTATATTTACTGCTGTTTTTGTGTGTTAGTTCTATATACTGAGTTAGTTGTGCGGGGTAGTTCTAATGTGTAGCATGTTAGTTCTATTAGGTACCATGACTGTTTTGTTAGGTCTATTGTCTGTTTTGTTAGTTCTATTGTCTGTTGTGTTAGTTCTAATAGACTATTTTGTTAGTTCTAATAGACTGTTTTGTTAGGTCTATTGTCTGTTTTGTTAGTTCTATTGTCTGTTGTGTTAGTTCTAATAGACTATTTTGTTAGTTCTAATAGACTGTTTTGTTAGGTCCATTGTCTGTTTTGTTAGTTCTATTGTCTGTTGTGTTAGTTCTAATAGACTATTTTGTTAGTTCTAATAGACTGTTTTGTTAGGTCTATTGTCTGTTTTGTTAGTTCTATTGTCTGTTGTGTTAGTTCTAATAGACTATTTTGTTAGTTCTAATAGACTGTTTTGTTAGGTCTATTGTCTGTTTTGTTAGTTCTAATTGACTGTTTTGTTAGTTCTAATAGACTGTTTTGTTAGGTCCATTGTCTGTTTTGTTAGTTCTATTGTCTGTTGTGTTAGTTCTAATAGACTGTTTTGTTAGTTCTAATAGACTGTTTTGTTAGGTCTATTGTCTGTTTTGTTAGTTCTATTAGGTAACAATGTCTGTTTTGTCTGTTGTGTTAGTTCTAATTGACTGTTTTGTTAGGTCTATTGTCTGTTTTGTTAGTTCTATTGACTATTTTGTTAGTTCTATTAGGTACAATGTCTGTTTTGTTAGTTCTATTGTGTTAGTTCTAATGCTCAGTGTGTTAGTTCTGTTAGTTCTATTGTTAGTTCTATTAACGCTCCGGTTAGTTCTATTGTCTGTTTTGTTAGGTCTATTGTCTGTTTTGTTAGTTCTATTGACTATTTTGTTAGTTCTATTAGGTACAATGTCTGTTTTGTTAGTTCTATTGTCTGTTTTGTTAGGTCTATTGTCTGTTTTGTTAGTTCTATTGACTATTTTGTTAGTTCTATTAGGTACAATGTCTGTTTTGTTAGTTCTATTGTGTTAGTTCTAATGCTCAGTGTGTTAGTTCTGTTAGTTCTATTGTTAGTTCTATTAACGCTCTTGTTAGTTCTATTGTCTGTTTTGTTAGTTCTAATAGGTACCATGTTAGATCTATTTTTAGAAGTGTGCTAGCAAATCGGACAATAGTCAGATCTATTTTCATTACATGTTTTACGATAGTCCGCGATAGTTTTATTTCAAAACATACTTAGTCATCGCTAGTTTCATTTCAATCACACTTAGTCAGCGATGGTTTCATTACAGGTTTTACGCTTATGCCCTTCCAGATGACACCGAGAACATTTAACTGGCCGGGTGTAAACAGTTCTGTTGTTGATTCGCCTGGTCTTATTTCTCCCTTTCCTTTTCGTTGTAATTAGAGGTAGGATCTGTATCTCATCCTTTGGCACGCTGCGTTTCTCGTAGTCAGGTATAGGGTAGATGATAGGCTCGTAGCTCCTTTTAAAGGCGTCAACCGTCATAAATTAGTCACAGAATTGGTAGACATCCCTTTTCATAAACATAATGCTTGCGCATGCATGTTTGCAAGGGACACGGGTTACATCCCACCCACGGCAAGTGCATGTTTTATTGTCTAGATCCACTTGACAAGATCTATGGGATTGTACTTCAAATAAGCCTGTGTGGGACTGACGAACCTCCAACGGGCGTCCATTGTCCATGTTCTCCTATAGGGCAATTTCAGCTTTGGGGCAAAGCACTTGATTCCAACTTTCAGCCATGACTCGTCGCTCATTCATGCGCACCATGATCTGTTTACGAATATGCTCTATCAGTTGGAGTATCCGTAGAAGCCTTGCCTCATGAATCCATTTGTTGAATGACTCTGCAACATTTGATGTAACGTGACCATATCTAAACATAGACAGTGTTAGTTCTATCTACTTCTATTAGTTATATGTAAGGTAATCAAATGAAATATTACTTGCCTAACTCCAGGAAAAAACGCATTGGCCCAGTTTTCTGGAGCGTAGTTCATCACAATATTGTAAGCTCTTTCGTCAACCAGTCTAATGTCGTCCATGTAATCGTTCCATTCTGCTCTAGTATATTTGTAACAGGCAGATTGCAGTAGATTACCCAAGATCTGAGAATCCTTTGACTTGAATCCCAAATCCTTCAACTTTGTTCTGAAGTTCTCGACCAGATGCAGCACACAGCGAGAGTGTATAGAATCGGGAAAAAATTCTCTAACTGCTTCTCTGATCCCTTTATCCGCATCTGAAATTATCACTAGCTTATGTGGAGGGTTGTATGGATCTGCCCTTTCATAGAGAATGGACCACAGACCTACAAAGAGTATTGGTTAACAGCCCTTAAAGTTAACTACGAAGGAGATAGAATTATAATAGCGATATTAGAACTAGATTTCTGAAGTGTTAGTTCTGTCAGGTGTCGTGTCAGTTCTAATATTTTGCCCGTTAGTTCTATTGTTCATTGTGTTAGTTCTATTATTTCTCTTGTTAGTTCTATTGTATGTTGTGTTAGTTCTATTATTTCTCTTATTAGTTCTATTGTCTGTTGTGTTAGTTCTATTATTTCTCTTGTTAGTTCTATTGTCTGTTGTGTTAGTTCTAATATTGATAGTATTAGTCCTAGTGTCTGGCGTGGTAGTTCTATCCACCTAAGTTTTAGATCTAATGTGCAGCGTGATAGTTCTATTTGTTCATTTTTAATAGCTGCATTTGATTGTGGTGTGTTAGTTCTATTTTTGTTGGCATCATCATGTATAATGTTGGAACTAACCTTGTAGGAACCACTTCCAGTTAACATTATTTTCTTGATCGCAGATACAATAGGCCAATGGAAATATCCCCTGATTGCCATCATATGCTACGGCGCTTAATAGTATACCTTTGAATCGATCTTTCAGAAAGGTTCCATCCAAAAATATAAGTGGTCTGCAACCTTGTAAAAAACCATTTATGCAGGCCGCATAGCAGATGAATATCCTTGTAAACCTACCCTCGTCTTGTTCAACATGAATGTAGCTTCCCGGATTTGTCTTCTTAACCTCGTCTACATACCTAGATAATTGAAGATTAAGCGTTAGTTTCAACATTATAAAGTTATGAGACTTATAGCGTCATATAAATGAAAACAACAGCAACTTGTGTATATATGATCTTTTGATTTACCATCTCAATTGATCGTAGGACTCATAAGCATCACCATATAATCGCTCTTGAGCTTTTTCTTTACCCCACCAAATCTTACTATATTCAACCCTAATCCCATATGAACTTAGAAACTCCTTCTGAACGTCAATAGGTCGTATATCCGGACGTACCTTCAACGTGGGTTGTAATTGGGTAGCAATGAAATGACGAGAGGCTCTAGATTGACCTGCATTATTGGCATGTTGTCCACAGTTGTGAATGTCCACGAACCTTTTTATTTTAAGTCTATTATCATTTTTCGGCGGAGAGGCAAATAACATCCATGGGCAATTTTTGGCTACCTTAAACCGGCAAAAAACTCGAATACTCTTTGGTTCATTCTTCACAAACTCATATTCGAATTTTTTGGCCATGAAGTAGTATAGCAAGGCCAATCTTAACTCCTTCGCACTTTCAAAACGTTGCCCCTCCCCAGTTAACGCAGTGTGCCACCAAGCAGGAATCCTCTCAGATCTGCTAATCATGTCATCAATCATCATAACATTATCTCTTGAAGGAATGTCATTGGGATTCTTATCTGCAACAGTTGTGGACGACAACTCCGGCGGGCCACAGTCTATACTTTTCGAGTTTAGACTTCTGGAAGCGCTACAAATATTAACAACAGGAAAATAGTTAATCATAAACTACACAAATAAAAGTGTTGATAGGGGTCTAACACGCTTTAGAGTAGCTCTACCCCATATGGAACTGGTGATAGAACTAACATACAATCGTGTAGAAGTAACAAAATAGCTACTAGAACTAACAGAAACCCCTATATGTATTAATAGAACTAACATGCATGCAATCGTGTAGAACTAAGATGCATGCAATCGTGTAGAACTAACAAAATAGCCATTAGAACTAACAAAAACCCGTTCAGCAACAACACGTTGATTAGAACTAACAGGTCAACGATTACAACTAACATATTGTTGAAATGCATCTGAAATCCAGTTTAACATTCAACATAGACAAAAAGAAGACGATTAGCACTAGCGTTCGTTTACTTCGCAGTTAACCTACATGTCTTGTGGGACTTGCTCTTTGCAAGGTTGGACTCGCTCATTGCAGTGTATATTCTGCAAATCATCAGCTTCTTTAAAAGCTTTCATGTGAACCTCTTTCAGTCCAAGATTGTGGCAATGCTCCACCATAGACATCATGTCCCCCTCGTTCTCAATAGGAAATTTCAAGCTTCCAGCTGTTTCATCTTCGTATGACAGAATTAATGACTCATATGGAATACCTAACCTCTCTGCCACATCAAATTTGAGATCCAGGATGGTGGTTGAGGAGTTAATCTTCAAAAATACCGCTTTGTACCCCGAAGAGACAATGCAAATGATATCCTTCTCAGCCATTTTGAAGAGAAAGAGAAGGTAAGATTAATGGCGCGAGTAAAGGAGAGAATTTTGGTCTGAGGAGAAGTAATGGATAACTAAATATCAACAGTCTTCACAATCAACATCGAGAGTTACAATCTGACGACTCTCACATATCAAAGAGCTAAAGCAAAGATTACAAAACGACGATCTTTGCAACGCTCTGACAGAAAGAGACTACGAATCGACGGTCTCTTCAAATCAAGATGTGAAAGTCCTCCCTGCGTACCAGCATCAAGATGCGCCACGTTCATAGCCACGAACGCAGCTCAAACGCAGCTCCAATCGCTGTCCAACGCAGCTCCAATCGCTGCCCAACGCAGCTCTAAACCGCTGCCCAACGCAGCTCCAATCGCTGTCCAACGCAGCTCTAATCGCTGCCCAACGCAGCCCTATACCGCTGTCCAACGCAGCTCCAATCGCTGCCCAACGCA